TTACTACGCGTTAGATATTCACATGCTGGATTACTATGCGTTAGATTACCACGCATTAGATTCCTACGCTTAGAATTATCACGCGTTGCATTATTACGCGTGGAATTGCTACGCGTTGAGTATGCACGCGCTAGATTACTACGCGTTGGATATCCACACGCTGTATTAGTACGCGTTAGATTACTACGCATTGGACTACGCGTTGTATTACTACACGTTGGATTACTACGCGTTGGATTACTATGTGTAGGATTACTACGCGTTGGATTATTACGCGTTGAATATCCACGCGTTGGACTACTACGCGTCGAATATCCACGCGCTGGATTACTGTGCGTTAGATATCCGCACGCTGGATTACTACGCGTTAGATTATCACGCATTAGATTCCTACGCATAGAATTAACACGCGTTGCATTATTACGCGCGGAATTACTACACGTTGGATATCCACACGCTGTATTATTAACGTGTTGGATTACTACGCGTAGGATTACTACGCGTTGGATTATTACGCGTTGCATTACTACGCGTTGGACTAATACGCGTTGAATATCCACGCGCTGGAGTACTACACGTTGGATATCCACACGCTGTATTACTACGCGTTGTATTACTACGCGTTGGATTATTGCGCGTTGCATTACTACGCGTTGAATAACTACGCGTTATCCGAAGCTGCCGCTCTCGCGTCTGCGCATGCGTAATCCTTGCGCTCTGATTGGTCCGTGTTTTTCCTTAATAATTCAAAAACGAAGCTTCATATCCCATTCTTGCAAAGGGAAATCTTATTCAGAATCATGTCAGCTATCCCCCATTTCAGGGGCCTACACTAATTGTGAGACACCCTATATTATTCTCACGTCGCAAAAATAGTCGAACGTTCTTCAATTTTATAACCCAGCTTCTTAACATAGAATTAGAGGAAGGAATTTTTCACACCTGCAAAATATAAACGATATCAATTTCACAATCGAGATCCTAACATGAAGTAAAAGGTTAAAACTTCTGCTAATATAATTTGAAAGTGTGAATTCTAAAATGTAACTCCCAGAATTCTCACCTTCAGACAACTGGATGCAAGAGACCTTCAATAATAACATCATTTGCAATCAATCCATTAATAAATTACACATTCCAACAGCCTCTCGAATTATAAACGTAACCCGATCCTCGTCAACCAACAGGTGCAACGCGAACTGCGACCGATGGACTCCATAGCTGCACCAGCACATGTTCCGCACACAAATTCCAATCTCTCTAAACGTTTTTCCCTTTGATGCACAGATATACATTTCCAACCGCGGCTAATCGTGCTATGAGATACGTGTGACCTTTCTCCATACCGCGAGACGTATATTTACCTGAATGGGCCATTAAACGAAGGTAATTACAGCGTTTAGCGTACGGTAGTTCGCAATCGTAACGAATCGTTTCTCGCGATTTCAAAGATACAAGTCGAGTTGCACGGATCCTTATCGGTGGGATCCAAAGCAACGATGTCCACGTGAACGTTATCTCGATCACGAATCCAAGACATTCAACGAAATTCTAGTGAATCCGTGCACCGTTAAGGTTATCGTTGTCTCCGCTATCTTACCGGCACTTAATCACGTTCTAATTGCACGATGTTGAAGACGTATTACGACCTCCTCGTTAGTTACACTGTTTTTCGCTTAGTTCTGTCTGGTGGAGCTTTGATGAACGCCAGATTTTAGAACCTGCTTTTATGAGTTCTAACCTACCGACATATGTGTACTTAATTGGAAATTAAAAAATAAACAAACGACGAAACATAAATTAGGAGCACATTTATTCTTTATTTTGATGAAAATCTATGGTGATTTTAAGGAATGTATTTTAACAAAATGTACACCTTGTAAGAAGAAAATGGTGGACTGGTCTGGTAGATTTAGTGTTAACCTAACCTATAATTTCTTCGGCAGTTGTGTCTGTCAGAGCTGTAATATTAAAAGAAATTAGGAAAATTGAACTGTTAAACATATTTTGAATTTATGGATTCCTGACTATGTAAATTATAATTTGTATCAAACTCCAAACTCCATCGTGTGACATAGTATTATAAGTCAAAGGCCTCTGATATTTGTTAAATTCACTGTGTATGAATGAACAAATGAATATTATATTTCTAAACGATATCTGGAGTCTTTTTTTTTAATATTACAAGAATTTTGAAATGTTTAATATTGTCATATTGTAAACATTATTTTGACATTTTAATAAATTGCGATTAAGTTCAGATTACGAGAAAGGTTAAATAAAAATGATTCTGCATGATGTACAAATTTAAAACCACATCTCTGAATTTTCAAATTTCCAAATTTGCAGCAATTATCTAAAAGAGCTGACTCCTCGCTAAAACAGACAATGAATAAATTTACAGCTCAGTATTCTTAGATTATCAAGAACCCTCCGGTATGTAAAATATGTACGAAGAGCTAAAATATCACCTGTAGGAGATGCTAAACTTCAGATTGATATATGATAAGTGCAATTTTGTCGTACTTCTACGTCCTTAAATCATGTCCGACTTTACGTTCTTCAAAATTAATTATAGTTACTTGTAACTGGCAACCAGCCATTTTGTATCGAGATTATTAACGTAGAATTGTAGAGTTGCGGACGCATTCATGCAACATTAAATTCTAAATTGATACGTCACAGCTGCTGTCTTCTAATACTCAATTATCCAATTATAAATTCTCTACATTTTGAAATTCTTATAGCGTGGAATCTTAGTTATTGTGTTTTCACACAAGGTAGATATGAGGAGATCGAATACGGCAAAAGTCTTTAAAATGACTGTATTTTATAAAAACATCTATTGCTTATATTTCAACTTTTAATAATTTTGATTAAACTTTGCGTAAAAACAGAAGAAACTATTTTCTTTTTAAAAGCTAAATATTTTATTGACATTTGTTTGTAATCTATCGAAGATTCTGTAGTTGGTATTGCATCAACGTCTACCATATTTATGGCGCGCCATGGCGGCAAATTTAAACTGTTTAAACGTACTGCATAACCGAACGTGCTTTGGTATTATACATATATAATAAATTTAACTTATATTTAAATTTTATATGCATATGAACTTTCTTGCTTGTAAGTATTAGGTCACTTATTAATTTCAACTTTATGTTTATTTAATAATATTATTTAATATTACTTACTATTTCAAAAATCAGATTAATGAATTTATTACTTTCTCACACTGCTTCTTTTAAATACTGAAGTATATTAAAAATTGTATAACACTTTTTTTCTTATTAATTAGTTGTAGTAGGTCATCTTAAAAAAAATACAATTTTATAATTTTATAGAAACATGAGTAGTATTTTCAAGTGTCTATTTTGTACATTCACAAGTAGTATTTTTAAACAAAATTCAAAAGTTTCACGTATAAAATACCAGTCAATTAACGTGGATATCTATAATATTATTCAAGTTATATTTTTTAAGCAAAAACCAGCTCTAAATTTTTAATGTCCACAGCTAGAATAATTTTAACAAACAAAATATCAGTATTTAATTCTCGAAGTTGCACAAGTAAACAAAGAACGATTTGCATAAAATAAATTTGTCGGAACTTATGGACATAATTTATGAGAACGTTATAAAGAAGAGCGAAGGGTCATTAAAACCATTGTTCTCAAAGAACTGTCCTACGACAGGTCCATTGTAAATTTGCGGAAAAACTGCGTACGTCCATTGTAAGTCCTCCGCATTGTATTATTGTAATACTAATTTCCTGAAAGGACGCATACAGTGCGTCACCGGTGACCCCCACGATGCGTGGTGCATCTCGAACGCGTTAATTAGCAAGCCAACAAAAACTTAAGTACCGTTTATGAACTCGACGACCCTCGACCCTCCGCAGCAACTATGAGAAATTTCGCGCAAAGAACATAAGCGAAGGAGGAAGACTCAGTGATTATTATTGGCGCGAGCAACGGACAAGAGAAGTAAGAGTAAAGAAAAGCATGGAGGAAGAGAGGGCAAAACGACGTTGGGACACGAGAAGTGGAATGATGAATTGCAAGGCGCGGCAATGAATCAGAGCCCAGCGACAGGCGGTACACCTACAAACAATGCGGGGCCCCTGTTCTTCAGGGCCCACCAAGGTTGTTCTCGAACACCTTTCTCCGTGTACGTTCAAAGCTCTGCTTGAACAATCGCCGACTATTTCCTGCTTTTGCAATTTCCTATAGTTATCGTGAGTGTGGTGGCAACGAGCTGTGCAAATGAAAACAGAACTTTTTTTTTTAGAATATTTGTCGAATGTATTAGGTTGGGGAATAAGTTCGTAGCGTTCAGTTCGTGAGGCACCCAGGCTCCCAATTTTTCGACAAGTCCCATTGAATGGAGATGATTGAGAATAGTTTTGTGGTCATAGTTCATTTTTTCAACCAATTCACGACTAGTTTGGCGACCGTCCTGCTTCGCAAGTGCTCGGAGACGCTCTTCGTCGAACTTAGAAGGTCTTCCGCTGCGGGGCGAGTTTTCGAACGTTAAAATCGCAATTTTTTAATTTTGCAAACCATTTCCGTGCTGTCGACTCACCTATGACACCTTCTCTGTATATATTGCAAATAACCCGGGCTGCTTCAGCAGCTTTTTGGCCGCGATGGAAAGCGAAGAAGAGCAGGTGTCGAAAGTGCTAATTTTTACCTCCTGGATATTCCATTTCTGAGCCTCAATAGTAATAACGAATGAAACTACTGAAAAAAACGATTAACACAGTTTTGTAGAGCAGAAAGAGCTCTATCGAATGAATATTATAACCCCTTGCAAATTGCAAAATGTCGCTGTCAAAAAAAGAAAATGTCGAAACGCTACGAACTTATTCCCCAACCTAATAATAGTTAGGCTCCTGTGACGAGTCGATATTTGTTTATTTATCTGTACGACGATATAGGTTGCAATTTTGGGTCTTCTTCCTTGAAATCTTAGGGTTAGTGGGACACATATGATAATTTAAGCAATTGTGGGACATCTTAAATTTGTTTTATAGATTTTGGCAGCAATCTGAGCACAGAACTTGTCATCACCATCGATCGTCGTCGAATCGAAAACTGTGTTTTGGTATCGTGTTAAATGATTCAGAATTGAATGAAAGCACGTTGAAAGCTCTATAACTCATCGTTGAATACTTGGTCCTCGTTAACCTGAGTGAAATCTCCAATAATTATACTTGACATCATTTTCAATAATTTCAGACACGTTTTGGAATTCAATCATTTGGAATTTAAAATGAAATGTCTACCCCACATTCTTGTTCTACCTATACCTATATGTATACAAAAATATAGTAGGTATTCGAAATTTGTAATACATGTTCGAATTTGTAAATTAAAAAATTTGATTTGTTCTGGGTCTACGTGTCTTTTATACGTTCTCCATTTAGCACCATTGGTGGTCAAAACAAGTTATTACATACTGTATCATTTCTCGCTACACGTGAACAAATACAAATTGATATGTCATGATAACCATCGGAACAATAAATTCCTTTTGAAACACGATATTTATGTTTGAACTACTTCAGAATTATTAATGGTTTAAGGTATGTAGCATGAAAGTTATAATAGGTTGTAAATATAATAAAATACTTGATACAGAAGAAATAACAAATTCATTATTTATAATTGTGATGGTAAAAACAATTTGAAAATTCATTTCGACACTAAATTTATTACAAAATTTCTATTTTTATTTTTTAGTCTAATTTCAAATATAATAAAAATATATTTTAAAACTGTAAAAATGTTACAGTTTATAAATGTATAAATTTGTAAATATATCAGAATATATTGAAATGTACTGTATTTTTATTTTAAAAATTTGATATCTATATATAATAAATTTTCAAGCTTACAAACATAGTTAAAATTAATATTGCAGGTGATTAGAAATGGTACAAAATAAATTCTTTAGTATTCATAAATACACTAATTATTAATCTTATATGTAATAGCAAGTTGAATTCACAATTTTTTAAAATATGAATGAAAACTCATTAGCAATTTTTTTTATTGAAATATCTTCTGACACAAATATAATTAAAAATAATCTACAAATACCCAGTAATTTTTCCATTTTTAAAAATATTGTAATGTGTGACTCTTTAATAATTTTAACTCTGTACATTTAGTAACAAAATACCAAATAATTTTTCAATTTTTAAAACTATTGTAATGCATAACTTTTTAATAATTTTAACTCTGTATATTTTACAAGTACCAAATAATGTTTCAATTTTAAAAATATTATAATGCATAACTTTTTATATAATTTTAACTCTGTATATTTAGTAACAAAATACCAAATAATTTTTCCATTTTTAAAACTATTGTAATGCATAACTTTTTTATAATTTTAGCTCTGTATATTTAGTAACAAAATACCAAATAATTTTTCAGTTTTTAAAAATATCATAATTTATAACTTTGTAATAATTTTAAGTCTGTATATTCAGTAACAAAATACGAAATAATGTTTCAATTTTTAAAACTATCATAATCTATAAGTTTTTAATAATTTTAATTTCGTATATTTAATAACAAGTACCAAATAATTATTCAATTTTAAAAAATGTCGTGACGAGCAACTTTTTAATAATTTTACCTGTGTACAACAAAATTGACACAATTTGATACTTCGTCCCAATAATGATTGAACCATTCTGTCAAAATAACAATAGTAGTTCGATGGGAACGAAATATCGGTTTACTGTGGTTTTCCTTTCCGCGTGCACCAAAGATTCCAACGCGTTCATAATGTGTAAATTACGTACTATCGATAACCATAATTGCACGGTGGTCATTTTGTGGCAACCGTTTGCGTCATCGTTTTCAGCATAACAGTGGTTTCCTGTTAATTGCACAAATTACACCACTTCCGTTCCTCGATTGAAAACGAACGTCGCAAAGCACCGTTTTCCGCTTTCTCTTTCTTTCTTTTCTCGTTCGCCAACGATCTCTCGTTCGCCGAGATGGGACCAGTTTCCATTCAATTTTAAACCGAACTTCCATCTGTCCTTGTGGTTGTGGCCGTCAAATGACGCAGCTACAATGTGAAGGTCGAATTTTTCAGCAACTGCATCATCCTGTTGACACTCAATGCTTAAGGATTACGGTGATAATATGAGGATTGCATGGAATTTTAAAACAGTTCACTTGGATGCATTTTCTCCTTCTGTGACATTTTTGTTATCGTCTCATTTGTTATTATTTTCGTGCTTTGAGTATTAATCTCTCAGTCCTAGATGAAAGCAGATGACGCAAATTAAGGTTTCAATATTTCAATTTGATTTTTGTTTTTTTTTTTTAGACACAGACATAGATAGAGATTTGAACATTTCAATTTTTTATTAGACTCTCAAATGTCAGAATTTGTCAGAAAAATATTGAACTCAAGATGTTTGAGACTGACTCGAGACTTAGGTTCGATGTTCAGATAATTTAAAAATTTTTGATACTTGAGAGTATTTTAAATTAAAAGGCAGTAAAGGATGAGAAGTTTTAGAATATCTAATTTATTGATATGTTAGTCAATATATCACTCCATAATCAAATTCATAGTCATTATAACAATTATTGTTTATAAACATAACTATTTAAATATCATATTCAGAACAATTCATAATCATTTAAAAGTCATATTCATTACAGTCCATAATCATTCAAAAATCATGTTTAGTAAAATTCATAATAATTATTATAATCATTACTCATAATTATAATCACTTAAAAATTATGTTCAGTACAATGCATAATCATTTAAAAAACATGTTCAGTACAATTCATAATCATTAAAAAATATTCATTACAGTCCATAATCATTTAAAAATCATATTTAGTAAAATTCATAATAATTATCATAATCCTCACTAATAATTATAATCACTTAAAAATTATGTTCAGTACAATGCATAATCATTTAAAAAACATGTTCAGTACAATTCATAATCATTCAAAAATATTCATTACAGTTCATAATCATTTAAAAATCATGTTTAGTAGAATTCATAATAATTATCATAATAATTACTCATAATTATAATCACTTAAAAATTATATTCAGCACAATGCATAATTATTTAAAAAACATGTTCAGTAAACTCCATAATCATTCAGAAATCATATCCACTAGAGTCCATAATCATTTAAAAATCATATTTAATAAAATTTATAATAATTATCATAATCCTCACTAATAATTATAATCACTTAAAAATTATGTTCAGTACAATGCATAATCCCTTAAAAATCATGTTCAGTAAAATTCACAATCATTCAAAAATCATGATCAGTATAATTCATTATTATTTAAAAATCATGTTTAGTAGAATTCATAATAATTATCATAATCATTACTCATAATTATAATCACTTAAAATTATGTTCAGTACAATGCATAATCATTTAAAAACCATGTTCTGTAAAATCTATATTCATTCAAAAATCATATTCGGTACAATTCATTATCATTTAAAAATCATGTTCAGTACAATTCATAATCATTGAAAAATATTCAGCACAGTTCATAATCATTTAAAAATCATGTTCCATACTATTCATAATCATTTAAAAATCGAGTTACTACAATCCACAAACGTGAAAAATGATCATTAAATGATCCCATTCTTCCACGTCCACTAACAGCATCGTTAACCTGATTCCCCGGCATAATTCAATTCGCAGATACCGATCGTCGATCCTCGCCCCTTATTATTTAGCGAGTGGCGATCGAGCAAACGCTCCGCGCACGAACAATCGATCCATCGCAATCGGCAGCGGTAACGTGGTCGACTAATCGTAAACCGCACAACAGGTGCCGAGGATGCGCTTTATCGTCGCAGGGCCTCGGCGGGCGATTCGAGCGGGTGGGAGGGCAAATGGAACAAGACGAAAGGCAGAGAAGAAGAAGAAGCAGGAGCAAAAAGACGTAGCTGGCGTACAGCCACGAGAGGAACGTAAACTGATCGCGCAATCTGCCGGTGCGCGAGGCAAGTCAACTCCAGCCACGAAGAATTTCAATCAGTAATAATATCGCCGTGCTTTCTATCTTCCCTGCCCTCCCCCGCATGATCGTCCACCCTTTCGCCCCTCCCATCCGCCGCTCGTTTCCTCGGGGCTCTTTTTTGCCCCCGTCTCGCTTCCTCCATGCCCACGACTCTCTTCTCTAGCCGGTCCTCATGCCGGTTACAAATGGCATCATTATTCCTTAATAATTCGAGATACCGAGCGACCCGACATTTATTGTCCGCCGTGTGTACCGGCCACGGTTGAAACGGCGATAGCTCTCAGCGGTCAGCAGCTTTTTCCAATGTGCCCGGGCCTATTGGCGCGTATTTATTAGCGACCGTCCGAGCCGAGAAACGAACGATTTACGAGCAACGGAATAGACAGCCTCCAAGGGCTTCTGTGTTAGGTTCAGGGATTAAGGGAGTATTTACATTATGCTGGTAACTGCGGTAGTCTTGGCAGTAGATTTCTACGTTTCTTGCTTTGCCTGTACCATGTATGTTGGAGAAAGAAGGAAAGTAAGGACAGAAATTATTTTCTTTTAGGGTCTTTTGAGAATGCTGGAAGTTGGAGGTGTGGAAATTTAGGATTTGGAGATTTAGGAAGGTGGTAATTGAGTGATTTGAGGATTCGGCTATTTGGGGGTCTAGGAATTTGAAGGTTTGGAGATATCAGGATTTAGGAATTTGGGAATTTAGGGATTAGAGGATGTAGGGGTGTAGGGATTTACAAATTGGAGATTTAGCGATTTGGGGACGTAGGAATTTGGGGATGTGGGAATTTGGGGATGTGGGAATTTGAGGATGTGGGAATTTAAGGATGTGGGAATTTAGCGATGTGGGAATTTGAGGATGTGAGAATTTGGGGATGTGGAAATTTGGGGATGTGAGAATTTGGGGATGTTAGAATTTGGAATGTGGGAATTTGGGAACGTAGGAATTTGGGGATGTGGGAATTTGGGGATGTGGGAATTTGGAACCTCGAGAATTTCAGGAATTGGGAATTGAAGGACTTGGGAATTTGGAAGCTTGGGAATTTAGGAAATTTGGGAATTTGAAGGCTTGGGAATTTGGGGGCTTGGGAATTTGGGACTTTGGGAATTTGGGGGCTTGGGAATTTGGGGAATTTGGGAATTTGGAGATGTCGGAATTTGGAGACGTAGCGATTTGGGAACGTAGGAATTTGGAGATGTGGGAATTTGGGGATGTGGGAATTTGGGGATGTCGGAATTTGGGGACGTAGCGATTTGGGAACGTAGGAATTTGGGGATATGGGAATTTGGGGACGTAGCGATTTAGGAACGTAGGAACTTGCGGACGTAACAATTTGGAGGTGTAGAAATTTATGGATATAGCAATTTGGATATGTAAGAATTTGGAATTGTAGGAATTCGGAACTGTAGTAATTCGAAAGTATAATAATTAAAAAATACAAGAATTCGGAAAAGTAGGGACTCAGGAATATAGATATTCAATTATACAGAAATTCGGAGATATGGTACCTGAAGAATATAAAAATTCAAGGTCATAGAAATTCGAAAATATGTGTATTTAATAGTATAACAACTTCGATACGTGTTCTTCTAAACACCTAGATCACCCTTCACGCACCAACTGGTTGACATGCGTACTCTAAGAGCACGACAATCGCACGAAATTAATGAATCAGTATCACAGTCAGTGATGCTTAATGGATCAAGTAGGCTAATCTCGTTAGCATCTGAAATAAAATCCTGTCTTTGGCGCCGGTCTGTCACGTGATCTCGGTCTCACACGCTCCGATGATTTCTTATTGATTCACACTCGGGAAACTCGTTTGCTCTCTATCTGATCTTTCGAGTGTGCCGTGAATAATAATATCGAACAATAAGAAGTTTTCCGTTCCCGACGCCCACCAACGGCTCTGTTTACCGCTCCAAAACACATTCGTGTCAAGGAAGTTAATTGCAACACATTGTGACACTTTTCTTGCCTCCACGTCGTTTGATTTTTTTATCGACGCCAGTCTTTTAGGACCCGAACAATCGTGAAGCCGTATGTTACATTTCAGATTCAGATTTATTTTCGTGCTTAATATTTTGTAATTTTGATTCGTTTCTAATGCCCTACTAATTTGTCACAATTTGGAAAGTATGTACTTTTTATAGGAACATTAACCCCTTCCCGTACTTCGACGAGTCTCACTCGTGACGTACTTACAACTCAAATGTGATAAATCTTACTCAAACTTTGAACATTCTTCGACTTGAAATTTATGTCTAACTATAAGTTGCATTATCAAAGATCCCTGAATGTAAAATACTCACAACATTTTAATTTTCTTTGTTCGTTTTAATGTTATAGTCCTAAGTAGTTCATTTTGACTGACGCATCCGTTAAATAAATGGCACGGGAAAGGGTTAAAAACTGCACACATGTGTCATTTTAACTAATCATGTGTACAGGACCAGTGGTTGTTCACAAGTTGGAAGAAGAAATTAGGATGGTAGTTTGGATATCAACGTGTAGACTACACTACATATACTTTTCTTCCCAAATTATATGCAAGAATCAAAATATTCAAAAATCAAGAATTTTACCTCTGTTCCTTTTCTCTTCTCTCTTCCCAGAGACGTGTTCTGCTTTATGTTTGCGCACGTTCATAATCGTTGACTTTTGACGAAAATATTTGCGCAACGATGTTTGTACGTTTAGGGGACCGTTTCGTAGGCGCGTTAATGAGTTAATATTGGACATTTCGTTTCCTCTGAAACGTGTTTGAGTAACGAAATTCGAGGTATCTTTTGTGTGAAAAGGTTTCAGTGACGAAAGTTATGAACTGTTCTTTGGAAATGATTTTTAACTCATAATTTAGTGAGTTGTTCGCATTGAAAGGTACAAAATTTAGTATGATGAATAATAAATCAGTTTTAATTAGTTTACAAAATTTAATTCTTTTAGGAACTAAAATATCTTGTACTTCAAATTTTACTTATGTAAGATT